AGGTGTGTTCAGTTTGGCTAAAACTTGCGTGAAGTCATTTCTCCCTGTTGGGGAAAACCCTTTTCGATTCCTCACCACATCATTGACCAGATCAGTTATGMTTGATCCTTGAARAGGCTTGCCCTCKACAGACACAGCGCCCTTGTCATCCCATGTTATCACCTCAGGGGATTTTTTAATCCAYTGTAATAATCCCTCTGCCTGAGTTTTAAATCTCTTAGGAACTGTTTTTAWTATTTCTGAATCGCTCACTGCCTGCCGTTCCTGAGCTTGTGCCTGCGCTTGTTGAGGTTCTTGGGCTTCCTGTGTCGGGATCGCATCTGAGTGAAGTTTCACCGTAGGAATGAAATGGTCTCTCTGTTCTTGCAAATTCAGAAATCTGTGAAACTGTTCCTCATGATTTTTCAGTTTTACATCTTCTGGTAGGTTAGGGTTGGCCAGTGTTTGATCCATTTCCTGATTTAGAGCACCCATGGCTTTGAGCAAAGGTGTGGTTTGAAGTTCTGTTTTCTGCTGAATTCGATTCAAAAGTTCTTCAGGAACCAGCACCATTTTTTTATTGTACTTCATTTTGTGAACAAACTTCCCAAGGCGGATAACACTGGAGGAAGAAGCAGACCTAATAAACTCCCACCGCTTTGCTGYAGTTTTGCTTTCTTCTGCTTGAGGGAGACTTTCTTATCTGCCAAAGGCTCTTAATAAAGACTTAAAACGTTTCAACTTCTTTTTCTGACTCGGGTTGATTGGTACTACACCCCGAAGGACGTTCAAGGATATTTCGGCCAAGCACTTGATCAAACCAACGTGACACGTTTGTAGAATGGCTTTTCTTTGCTTGGGACTGGAACTTGCTAAAACGCGGAGCAAATCCAAGTTGTGTTTCATGCGCTGAGACATGTTCAAATGAATAATTTTTGTGATGCTCGGGTTTATATTCGCTTGATGTAAACGGTTTGCCGATCCTCAGGGAAAATCAAGGTTCGAAGACGTAGTGCATTGGTGGTGGTTGGATGGAGATCAAACAACAGATAACCAAAGGGTTGCTTGGTTGCGTCATCATAAGCCTCCATAACCCGTGGGACTTCACCAGGAAACGCTTGTTTGGCCAAGGTGGAAACACCAAGAGCATCTCGTGGGTTTTTGAAAGCCACAATGTAATGGGTGTTGAGAGAAATGGTTCTTGAAAATTTTCCTGGTGGAAATAGGTTTTGAACCAAGGTCATGGTGTTGATTTGACGATGATGTGAGCCACGCGTCATTAAATCCATCATGGCTTCTTTACAACTGCTCTCTCGCATCAAATCATCCAATACCAACAGTCCTGGGGTGTTGTCAAAAATAGAATAAATGTCTTCAGGAAACCCCTCAACAAAGTGGAGATTTGGGATCTCTTTTTCCATGGTAAGAAAACGGGGTTGGAATTCTCCATAGCAGTACACAATTTTCTGAATAGGCTGATCAAACATGTCATTCACCACATCGTAAGAATTTTTCTGTCCAGCAGGTCTTGCCAGAAGAAGTGCAACCATACAAGATGATTGAGGTGGGACTTTTAAATCGAACATCCATTCTGTTCAGTGGTTGATTAAAAAGTGAATCATGGTCATTCGGTTGACGGTTGAYATTCATCACTCGCGCCTGCTCTAACCAGGGTTTTCTTTGTTCAGAACTTAAAGCATGAACCGTAAAATGGTTTGGTAATCTCAAGAGTTGATTTCTCACGCACCCAGGAATGGGGCAATCCTTCCGCCTTCGTGGGACCATCTGGAATGATGATTTGTTTTTAAATCATCGATCTTAAATCATTCAAACTAAGAGCTGGAGGGGCACTAGGGCCACAGAAAGGATAGCTCGAAACCCAAGGGAAGGCCACTAGGGCCACAGAAAGGATGAAACCCAATAAAGGGCCACTAGGGCCACAGAAAGGATTGCTTGAAACCCAAAGGAAGGCCACTAGGGTCACAGAAAGGATGAAACCCAATAAAGGGCCACTAGGGCCACAAATATTGCACTAAAAATCAAATGTCTCTAAAACGATTTTATTTCTACATTAAATTACAAAGTTATACCACAAGTTTTACTATTATGTTATGGAGTAATGACCATAAGCTAAGGTGGTCACTCCATCCTCTAAGATATATCTCTTATCGTC